TGCAGCAGCAGCTGCTGCTGCTGCAGCGCATGCACTAGCAGCAGGTGAGGCTGGAAGAACTCTGGGCTCCCCGCAGCAGCAGCAGCAGCTGCTGCTGCTGCATCTGCTGCAGCAGCAGCAGAGCCAGCTCCTGCTGCTGCTGCTGCTGCTGCTGCACCTAATAGGCAAACCAGAGGAACGCCAGGGCGCCGATAAAACAAACCAATAGGGGAACCCAAAAAGTCTGCACACACAAACCCTAAACCCTAAACCCTAAACCCTAAACCCTAAACCCTAAACCCTAAACCCTAAACCCTAAACAAAACCCTAAACCCTAAAACCTAAACCCTAAACCCTAAACCCTAAACCCTAAACCCTAAACCCTAAACCCGAATCCTATAGGGGACCCCAAACAGTCTGCAACCACAAACCCTAAACCCTAAACCCTAAACCCTAAACCCTGAATCCTATCGGAGACACCGAGAAGGCTGCAACCACAAACCCTAAACCCTAAACCCTAAACCCTAAACCCTAGTCCGGTGGTCTCCCTGCTTATCTACCAGTGCAGCAACTCAGCGAGAAACCCTAAACCCTCAACAGACCCAACCCAACCCCTAAACCCTAAACCCTAAACCCTAAACCCTAAACCCTGAGAACAAACCCCCAAGCGCCGTCGTCGCGCGGAGTTCTCTTCCTCCCAGCGTTAAGCCATCCGTGGCAGGCAGCCGAGGGTCTGCAACAAACCCTAAACCCTAAACCCTAAACCCTAGACCCTAAACCCTAGAGCCTGCCTGCGCAGCCCTACAAGTATAGTGGATCAATGAGCAGCAGCAGCAGCAGCAGCAGCATTAGCAGCAGCAGCATTTTCTCGTTCTGAATACAAGAACTAGGGTTTAGGGTTTCATTAGGGTTTCATTAGGGTTTCGCTAGGGTTTAGGGTTTAGGGTTTAGGGTTTAGGGTTTAGGGTTTAGGGTTTAGGGTTTAGGACCGAAGACAAGAGCATCAAAGACAGTCTCATCGAGGGTCACTTCGCTGCTAAACCCTCCGCCATCTCCAGCTGTATCGACACCTTCTCGCGGGCAACCACTCAGCTGCAGCAGCAGCAGCAGCAGCAGCAGCAGCAGCAGCAGCAGCAGCAGCAGCAGCAGCAGCAGGGTATTGTGTTCAAGTAGGCGGTGCAGCAACAGCAGCAGCAGCAGCAGCAATCCGCCGCCCAAACCCTAAACCCTAAACCCTAGACCCTAGCCCCTCTCCTGTTCCGTCTTTCTCCCTTATAACCCATAAACCCTAAACCCTAAACCCTAAACCCTAGACGTACAACGAGGGTTTGTTTGTTTGTTTGTGTTTTGTGTTTTATATTAATATCGTCGAAAGACAAAAGGAAGTCCTCCAGGCTCCGCAGCAGCAAAGCAGCAGACAAACAAACAGAATGACGCCGACCCCAACGCATGCGGCAAGGGAAACACCACGCACACGGCTGCAGCAGCAGCAGCAGCAGCAGCAGCAGCAGCAACAGATGCAGCAGCAGCAGCAGCAGCAGATACAGCAACAGAGAGATTAGCAGCAAAGAAATTACCACACAGCAGAAGCAGCAGCAGCACAAACAGCACCAGCAGCAGCAGCACCAACAGCAGCAGCAGCAGCACAAACAACAACAGCAGCAGCAGCAGCAGCAGCACAAACAGCAGCAGCAGCAACACAAACAGCAGCAGCAGCAGCACAAACAGCAGCAGCAGCAGCAGCAAAACCAGCAGCAGCAGCAGCACCAGCAGCAGCAGCATGAACAGCAGCAGCAGCACGACCAGCAGCAGCAGCAGCAGCAGCAGCAGGTGCATGCATACCGCAGCAGGAATAACAGAAGAAGAGAATACGCCGCATGCATCGTGGTGTATGTACACCTGAATGCAGTTCTGCTGCAGCAGCAAGCGGATAGATGAGGGACGCAGCAACCGAGAGGGGCCCCCCCCAAACCCTAAACCCTAATAAACACAAACAACAAAATATAAACTTTATTTTATATGTTTTATATTTTATATTATATATTATATATTATAGTTTATATATTTTATATTATATAGTATATATTATATAAGGTAGAAGGAAGTAAAACAAGGGTTTAGGGTTTAGGGTTTAGGGTTTAGGGTTTAGGGTTTCTTGCCTTTGTAAGAACCCTCCATAGATGTTTGATGGGTAGAGAAATACACAACGCAGGTTTATCATCTGCTGCTTCTTTCTGCTGCTGCTGCTGCTGCTGCTGCTGCTGCTGCTGCTGCTGCTGCTGCTGCTGCTGGGGATCGCAGACAGCAAAAGATTTAAAAAAGCTGCAGCAGAAAGCTAAATGAAGCCATGCTGTTTGTGCTTCGCATGCAGCATCGAGGTGTATAGACACCTGAAATATAGATATTCTTGTCTCTATACCGACAGCCCTCAATGCATATAAACATCTCCTTAATACTATTGCTTGGCCTGGTGTTAGGTCTGCTGCTGCTGCTACTCCTCCTGTTGCTGCTGCTGCTGCTGCTGCTGCTGCTGCTGCTGTTGTTGAACCCGTTGATAGTGCAGGATATGATACTTTAGGAAATCCTGCTGCTGCTGCTGCTCCTGCTGCTGCTGCTGCTGCTGCTGCTGCTGCAGGGGATGCCGGGCCTGGTGCTACTTCTGCTGCTGTTGATGGTGGTGATCGTTCTGCTGCTGCTGTTGCTGCTGCTGCTGCTGCTGCTGCTGCTGCAGGCGCAGCAGCAGCAGCAGATGGATGGGTGTCGGGGGCAGCATCCTGAGTGAATATCATCAGGCTAGAGAAGCAGAGAAAATAAATAAATAAATTAAATTAATTAAAATATAAAATAAAATAAAATAAAATAAAATAAAATAAAATAAAATAAATTATAAATAAATTATAAAAAATAAAAAAAAACACTCAATATATCTAAATAACAAAAAAAATATATGTGTATGTGTATCTACACCCCAGGGAGAGAAACACCACCGAGCCAGAGAAAAAAGAAGAAAGAAAACCAAAATAATAAACAAAAAAAATAAAATAAATTAAATTTAATAAATTAATTTCGATTAATTTATTTATTTTTCAGGTGTATGCGCAGCTGCAGATACACCCCAATGCAGGCTCCTCATACGAGCCACCGAGTGAAATCGGGGTGTTTTCTGTGCTATCACCGCACAAAACAATTAAATTAATTATTAAAATAAATAAATTAATATTTAAAATAATTAATTTCGGGTTTTCACGCAAAAATTCCGTTTTTTTAAGCTCCTTTATGCTCACACTGTCGGCTCCTGAGGGGCCCCCCTATGCTGCGGTGTATGTACACCTCGATGCGGGCCCTTCGTTTTCTTTTTTTTTGTTTTTTTTTATTAATTTAATTATAAATAAATTAATTTATAGTTTATTATTTTTATTTTATAAAAAAAAATATATTCTGCTCTATATACACCCCACCACCGCCGACTCATCTAACCAACCCCACCCTAAAACCCTAAACCCTAGATACTAAACCCTAAACCCTAAACCCTCAAACTAAACCCTAAACCCTAAACCCTAATATTTTCCCGACCCCAATATAACGTTGTCTAGGGTTTGAGTAAAACCCCAATAAAGGGGTCAGCAGAGCCACCACCATCTCTTTCTCGGTGTACATACAGCTGCTGCAGCTGTTGCTGCAGCAGCTGTATCTGCTGCTGCTGCTGCAGCTGCTGCAGCAGCTGCTACTGCTGCTGCTGCTGCAGCTGCAGCACCAACCATATGCTCTATATATCATCATAATTATTTTGTATATCTATCCGTATACACATGCATATATAATAAAATATGTAGTGTTTAGTGTTTATGTATCTACTATAAACCCTTATCCGTTATACAAACCCTAGGGTTTAGGGTTTAGGGTTTAGGGTTTACTAGATTGTATATAATACCTTTTATTTGTTGCCAGACCTCATCTATATTTTTATTAGCATCAATATATTTATATTTATTTATTTGTTTATATAGATTACATATAGGTAGTGTATTTGTTTTATATATATTTAGCCTTTTCTTTATAGATATTATATTATCGTCGACTCTGCCGCTTTCTTTTCCTCTTTTTATTACTCTCCTACACATCTCTTCTTCTTTACAATCAAAGAAAAGCAGCAAACAGCACTGAACCCCCCCGCCCTCTTTTGTCTGCTGCTGCAGCTGCTGCTGCAGCTGCTGCAGCAACAAGTCCTCCTGCTGCTCCTGCTCCTGCTGCTGCTGCTGTTTTTTTTGTTGTTCTTGTTGCTTATCTACTCCTCCTGCTGCTGCTGCTGTTGCTGCTGGGTCTGCTGCTGCTGCAGCATCACCTCCTGGCGAAGCTTCAGCAGCAGCAGCAGCAGTTTCTGCTGCTGCTGCTGCTGGTGGTTGCTGCTGCTGCAGCACAGCATCTATAGAGCTAAACCCTAATTGTGTTAATATATATTCTACCTGCTGCTGTAAACCCTCATCTTCTTTATAAGCGGAAGCTATGCGGGCCAACTCAAACGGCAACGCTCGCTTGTTCGTCATCTGCAAATACACCCCAAAACCCTAAACCCTAAACCCTAAACCCTAAACCCTAAACCCTAAAACCCTAAATTTGGATTTATATATATATATATATATATATATATATATATATATATATATATATATATATATATATATATATA